AGCCTTTTAGCTTATTTGTTTTATTAGGACAGTTGTCCAGGAAAGATACATCTGCTTATAGAAACCTCTTAAAGTCTGTACCTAAAGTTACTCATGAAACCTTACTAATGTAACCTATCAAGATTTGTGCCTCTAGAGAAGAAACATCGAATCTGTTATACCTTGCTTGTTCCAATAAACTTGTTACTGTTTTCCTCAAGCCTTGCCTGATACAGTTTCTCCTAAGTCAAACAGCCTGCATAAGAAGTAAAACCAAACCAGGGACAGTAAATGCTACGCTATCAAATAAGTAAATCCTTCTTTGTAAAACAGCTCCTAAATTGATGCTGAGAACTACTGGGCTTCCTCACAGATTAGGTGGCAGTAATTTTACCCTCCTTCACAACTGGTTTGTAGGAGCAGCACCCCGTTAGTGATCTGTTCAATTCCCAAGGAAGTCTAGTTCAGGGTTTTTGGCTAAATACCTAAGGGGCATTTTGGGGAGTTACTATCAGAGAGTCATTTCTTGAAGTAATTTTCTGTGGTGGAACTTTTAAGACTTGCAACCAAGAAGTTTTTAAGATCTTTACTCTAACGCAGGGGTCCTCAAACTTTCTAAACAGAGGGCCAGGTCACAGTCCCTCAAACTGTTGGAGGGCCGGATTATAATTTGAAAAAAACATGAATGAATTCCTATGTACACTGCACATCTTATTTGTAGTGCAAAAAACACTTAAAAACAATACAATAAATAAAATGAAGAGTGGAAAAGGGGAAAACCTTTACCTTAAATTAATACAACAGACTGATATGGATTTGTCAAAGACAGATACACTGGGCATCCCATCGGAAATATACGACATATAATGGAACATAAACAAAGAAAGAAATAACGGCAGCTCTCCCAAAATCCGATCTACAGAAACAACCTCAGCTCAGGATGGTGTGTCTCTGAATGAATGAATGAATGAGTGGCATGCCTAGCAGTTGGTGGAGGTTAGTTTTTTTGTTTGGTTGTGTTTTGTTGTGTCAGGAGCAACTTGAGAAACTGGTGGTGGTTACTTAAGAGCAGGCATGGGAAGACTTGGGCCCTCCGGGTGTTTTGGAGCACTCCAGACAACAAGCAATCAAGGACCAGTTAACACCTCCCAAAGAGAGGATGCCCCAGCCAACAACAGCCAGGCCACCTCTAAGCAAATGCCCTCACTGACTGATTTGGCAGCTTCATGGCCACTCAATGCTCATCAGGCTTGCCAATTGCAACATTCACACTTGCTTCCAACAGGCAAGAGTTCTTTCTCCCGCCCTGGACATTATTCCACAGGGATATATACACACACTCCACTTGTCTCACTTCCAACAGACCTCTGGAAAATGTCAGGAGAGGCAAAACATCAGGAGAGAATGCTACCGGAACATGACCATACAGCCCAAAAACCTCAAGCAACCCAGTGATTCTGGCCATGAAAGCCTTCAGCAATGCCGAATAATTGGTTTAGAGCACGGGTCCTCAACCCTTTTAAACAGAGGGCCAGGTCAGCTGTTGGAGGGCAGGATTATAATTTGAAAAAAGTACACTGTATTACGGTATATTGCTTTAAGCCCAGTGTGTGTGTGTGTGTGTGTGTTAAAGAAAGCCTAACAGAAAAGCCTTGCAAAATGTTAACGATTAACTGCAGCTGCAGAATGCTAGCTCAGCTCAGCAAGGCTAGGCCACGCCTTTTGAATGTCACAGTTTTTTGAGGCTTTTGCAGACGGTTAGCAGTTGGCAGTTTGATTTGCTGGAGAGCAGATGCAAGAAACTTCTGCCATGGTGAAGTAACCATGTTTCATTTTGTTATGCTCTATGATTTATAACACAGAAGATTTATTCTGTATTACTTACAGTGACTATGTGAGTGTGCCAAACTGTTTTCTTTTCAACTCTGCATCCAAGAGTAAAGTTCTACTGTTTTATTTCTTCTGACTGGTCTGTGTCTTTGGCATTGGGTTTTTGGACATGTTGGACATTGCTACTGCGCAACAAATTGATTCTGCGCAACACACTGCACTTACCTTATTTGTAGTGCAAAAAACTTTAAAACAATACAACAATTAAAATGAAGAACAATTTTAACAAATATAAACTTATTAGTATTTCAATGGGAAGTGTGGGCCTGCTTTTGGCTGATGAGATAGGATTGTTGTTGTTGTTGTTGTGTGCTTTCAAGTCATTTCAGACTTAGGTTGACCCTGAGCAAGGGCCGGGTAAATGACCTTGGAGGGCTGTATCCGGCCCCCGGGCCTTAGTTTGAGGACCCCTGGTTTAGAGAGTAAAGATGATATAGAATGGAATTATAGAGTAACTTGATTGTCATTGTACACGGCAAAACCAAATTCAATGCTTTTCTCAGCACACATCACAAAACCAACACTGTGCTGTCGCACGCTGGGCCTGTGCATTACACTGTACACAGGACATAAATTCTCTGTGCCCAACGGGACGCCGGGGCTGCCTCAGAATAAAGGCCCTTAGATTCCCCCAAACAGAGTCTTTAGAATGCTTAAAGTAAGTCCAACAAAGTTCTTTTATTAAGGAACAAACAGGTACTTTAACGGTTTTCTTAACAGTCTATAGGCTCTTTCAAATCTTGTCCACTAGGAACAGGCACTGTCTTCTTAACTGTAACTAACTGATGGGGAAATCCTAGCTTCTAATCTGGGCAGTCTGTACTTGCCTCTGTTGACGTGGAGCCCCTGCACCCGGTACCAACTGCGTCTGGCTTCCGCGAGTGACCCTTGCCTCAACAGAGCTTTGTAGACCTCCAGGGAAAAAGAAGGAGTTCAGGTTGCTGTGATGGCCGGCTGGAGTCCCTCAGCCAAGCTGTGGCTGTATGTCTCCCGGCCAAGCCGTAGGGCTGTATCACCCCGGCCAAGCTGTAGAAGACGAAGCTTTCTACAGGAGCTCTTGGTATCATGTCCTGCATGAAAAGCTTCTCTGTGTGGACTGAACCCAAAAAGGCTCCTATTCCCTCCAAAAACTCAAAAAGGTGGCGGGACCAGGGAACCTAACTATAATTGACAGGTGGCTTGCCCTATGATTGCAGCCAAAAGAAGCCACCTATCTGCAGAGTCCCTGAAACTTAGGACTGCAATAAACATTAAATGCAAAAGCAAACAGAAATGGAGCTCCTGGTACAGCTGTACCAGCACAAACACACCCGTCCTTCTACACCCCAACCACCACCACACAGCCCCCAATGCAACATCAATGCAAAACACAGAGTTCTGTATACTTACAGCTCTAGGAGAAAAGCTATCTCTCATTAACTATATAAAAATATAAATGTAATATTCATTTGTGGGATTAACAGAACTCAAAAACCACTGGACGAATTGACACCAAATTTGGACACAAGACACCAACTAAAGCAATGTATGTCCATCACTCAAAAAAAATTAACCGGGAAGAACTTAAACCCCCACAAACCTAAATGACTATACAAAGCATGCGTTAAAGGGACACCCTCCCCCGCCCCTCCCTCCTGCACCAAGGGAAATAAACAACAGCTGAGAGAGAGGCAGCTTGAGAGAGGGAGGGAAAGGTGGCCCGTACATCCCTCTTGCTACCCCCCTGTCTCTCTCTTCCCAAAGGATTCAGAGAGAGGGAGGGAAGGAGGGAGGGCGAGAGAGAGGACACCCTCCTCCAAATCCACCCCCTTCCTTTCCTTTCCTTTCCCTCTCGGGTCTTGGTTGTCGGCAGCATGGAGGTGCCTCCGCTGGGCTGCTGGGAACTCACACGGGAGGGATTCTGTGTGTGTGTGTGTGCCCAGAAAGCTCATCCATATTGAGTTATGGGAAGGAATTCTGGGAAATGAAGTCCAGTATTCAAAGGAAGGACAAAAACGCACACTCTGTGAGTTAGGAAAGGCTGTCCAGGAAGGCACAATCAAAACACTCCCGAAAGATGGCCATCCATTTTTACTTTATAGCAACCCTGGGCTATAATATATCTACAATATTATCTATATATCTATCATAATAATATCTATGTCTATTATATGTGTGTGTGTGTATGTCTATGATATCTATAGGTCTATAACAGTAATATCTACATGTCTATAATATCTGTATGTCTGTAATAATATCATAGAATCATAGAATCAAAGAGTTGGAAGAGACCTCATGGGCCATCCAGTCCAACCCCATTCTGCCAAGAAGCAGGAATATTGCATTCAAATCACCATGTCTATTACTATAATATCTGTCTGTCAATAATATCTACACATCTATAATAATAATACCTATATGCCTATATCTATGTCTATAATAATATCTATATATCAATAATAATAAAAAATCTATATGCCTATAATAATATCTATATGTCTATAATAACAACAATACCTATATATATATCTTTGAACTGGATTATATGGCAGTGTGGACTCAGGAAACTCGGAGCCCTTCCATACATCCATATCACTCTTTGGCCTCGAGGAGACTGAAATGCGCCTATATTACGTTGACACTTTGCCACTTCAGTTGTGTATTGATAGCTTAGAAACCAGCTCTTCCTCTTTTCTCTTTCCCATTGCTCCAAAACGGGCCACAGCAACACATGGCTGGGTACAGCTAATATTATGTAATATAGTATTATATTGAATATCTTATATGAGGTTGTTTAACCTCTGGTTTGTTTGTTAAACTAAATTACTGTGTCACAAAAGGATGCATGTCTAAAAAGTGTTTCACTAACACGAAAAGTCTGGAAAGCTCTATCTGGGAAACTCTCTTTGGGGTCAAACACCACTGTTCTCTCCAGTGTGGATTCCATGTCTATGTAGATTTCTACTCTCAGAGAAGCTTTTCCCACACACTGTGTGTTTATAGGGTTTCTCCCCAGTGAGTCCTTTGACGTGAATGTAGATTTGAGCTCTGAGCAAAGCTCTTTCCACGCTCCAGGCATGTATAAGGTTTCTATCCAGTGTGAATCCTTTGATGTGAACGTAGACTTCCACTCTGAGTGAAGCTCTGCCCACACTCCAGGCATTTATAGGGTTTCTCCCCAGTGTGAATCCTTTGGTGTTTATGTAGAACTGAACTGTGAGCAAATCTCTTTCCACATTCCAGGCATGTATAGGGTTTCTCCCCAGTGTGAATCCTTTGATGTGAACGTAGATCTGAACTCCGAACAAAGCTCTTTCGACACTCCAGGCATGTATAGGGTTTGTCCCCAGTGTGAATCCTTTTGTGTCTATGTAGATGTCCACTTTGAGTGAAGCTCTGCCCACACTCCAGACATGTATAGGGTTTCTCCCCAGTGTGAATCTTTTGGTGTTCGTGTAGATTTTCACTCGTAGTAAAGCTCTGCCCACACTCCAGGCACGTATAGGGTTTCTCCCCAGTGTGAATCCTTCGATGTCTACGTAGCTTTCCACTCTCAGTGAAGCTCTTTCCACACTCCAGGCACGTATAGGGTTTCTCCCCAGTGTGAATCCTTTGATGTGAACGTAGAGTTCCACTCTCAGTGAAGCTCTTTCCACACTCCAGGCATTTATAGGGTTTCTCCCCAGTGTGAATCCTTTGATGTGAACGTAGAGTTCCACTCTCAATGAAGCTCTGCCCACACTCCAGACATGTATAGGGTTTCTCCCCAGTGTGAATCTTTTGGTGTTTATGTAGATTTTCACTCTTAGTAAAGCTCTGCCCACACTCCAGGCACGTATAGGGTTTTTCCCCAGTGTGACTCCTTTGATGTGAACGTAGATTTCCACTCTGAGTGAAGCTCTGCCCACACTCCTGGCATGTATAGGGTTTCTCCCCTGTGTGAATCCTTCGGTGGTTATGTAGGTGTCCACTCTGAGCAAAGCTTTGCCCACACTCCAGGCATTTATAGGGTTTCTCCCCTGTGTGAGTCCTTTGATGTAAACATAGACTATGACTGTGAGTGAAGCTCTTTCCACACTCCAGGCATGTATAGGGTTTCTCCCCCGTGTGAGTCCTTTGATGTAAACGTAGACTACCACTCTCAAAGAAGCTCTTTCCACACTCCAGGCAAGTATAGGGTTTCTCCCCAGTGTGAATCTTTTGATGTGAACGTAGACCTTCACCCCTACTGAAGCTCTGCCCACACTCCAGGCATGTATAGGGTTTCTCCCCCGTGTGAATCCTTTTATGTCGCTTCAGATCACCCCTCTGAGTGAAACTCTTCCCACATTCCAGGCATATGAATGCTTTCCCCTTCATGTCAGCCATGATACAGGTGTTTAATTGCAATACAGATGTTTCAGTCTCCTTTTTTCTTTCCTTATCTGTATGTGAGGTCAAGATTTCAGCAAGTCCATCACCTAGAGAGAAGTTCTTCTTCCTATACTATTGATTTCATTGCTGCATCCAAAGGTTGGCTCCATGGAATCCTCACTTCCCTGGTTAAGGAAGAAGCAAAAGATCAAGATGAAGGCGAGAAACTTTCTTGACCTCCATGATTTCCCCCTTTCCCTTTATGGGTCATGTTGAAAATGGAAACACCCAGAAATGCAAACATCAGGGTCTTCAGAGGTTCTGTTGGACAATGAAGCAAGTGGAGTGTCTCTAGCCCTGTGGAATAATGTCCAGGGTGAGAGAAAGAACCCTTGTCTGCTTGAAGCAGGTGTGAATGGCCCAGCATTTCTGCGTTTTCAGATAAGATTCTGTGTCCAGCACTCAGAAACAGGAGAACTCCAGACAGCAAACAATCAGCTGCCAGTTAACACCTCCCAAACAGAGGGTGCCTCCAGGCAACAGAGGCCAGGCCGCCTCTCTGCAGATATCCTCACTGATTGACTCTGCAGACTTCATGGCTACTCCAATGCTAATTCAAGCTTATTCACTGCAACATTCACCCTTGCTTCTGTCAGGATTATTGAGGTATGCATGTGTGTTTTTCAATGTGTTTCTATGTAATTCAAGACGGATTAAGATGTGTTTCAAGATGGATTCTATTATGTTCAATTGTGTATTAGAAATACTGTGAGAAGCAGAGAGAAAAGTAACCTTGACAGAAGTGAGATAACAGGTTCTCTAGCTGTGGGAAGAAGGAGTATCCGGTTACAGCCAGAGGTCTGATAAGCACATGTTCTGAAAATGTTTATGCTGTGCTTTGTAGTTCCTGATGATAGCCCGCTAAGAATGGACGTGTGTAGATGTGCTTAGTAAACTTTGTGTTTTTTGTAACTGTAAAACGGCAGAGTCCTGATTTTTGGGGTTCTGTGTCTGTTGATCTTGCAAGCTCTTCCGCTGCGCATATACTCCCAAATTCTCTGACAGCTTCAAACAACCAAGGGTTCTTTCTCCCGCCCTGGATATTATTCAACAGGAATATATACACTATTCCACTTGCTTCATTGCGAACAGAAGCTCTGAAGGTGCCATTAGCCACAGATGCAGGCAAAACTTCAGGAGAGAATGCTGCTGGAACATGGCCAGACAGGCCGAAAATGTACAGCAACCCAGTGATTCTGGCTATGAAAGCCTTTGACAAAATATTATTAAAAGCATGCCTCGTCCAGAGATATTTCTCTCCCAGGGGCCAGTTAAAGTTCTGCTAAAGGGTGAAAAATTGTAACTTTCCCGCTGGTCAGAGAAGCCTTTCAGAATCAGGAAACATTTTTGGAGACCACTTGAAGGCTTAATTATGCCTTCCTTCTTTCCCTTTTTTTCCTTCTTTATTGTTCTTTCTTGCCTTCCTCCTTGCTTAACCTGCAATATCATTGATCTATTATTGAGCCATGGCAATTAATAGGAGTAGTAGTAGTAGTAGTAGTAATAATAATAATAATAATAATAATAATAAAACCAACAACCCTGGAGCTGTAGTTTTGCGAGCCCTTTCGCCTCTTCTGCCCAATAGTGTTGGCGCCTTGCCAAACTACAAACGGGAGTGATTGCCATATTAATATATGTTTTAATTATCATATTTTTAACCATCATATTGTTTTTATTTATAACTAGCTGTCCCCTGCCAGGCGTTGCTGTGGTCCAGTCTGGTGATCTGGAAAATAAAGTCATGAGAAAGTGTTCAAGATAGCAATTTTCTGTTGGTCTTGGGAGTTCTGTGTGCCAAGTTTGATTCAATTCCCTCATTGGTGGAGTTCAGAATGCTCTTTGATTGTAGGTGAACTATGAATCCCAGCAACTACAGCTCCCAATTAACAAAGTCAACCCCTCCCCCAACTCCACCAGTATTCAAATTTGAGTGTATTGGGTATTTGTGTCCAGTAAATGAAAATACATCCTGCATATCCGGTATTTACATTACAATTCATAAGAGTTGCAAAATTACAGTTATGGTGTAGGAACAAAATAATTTTATGGTTGGGGGTCACCACAACATGAGGAACTATATTAAGGGGTCATGGCATTAGGAAGGTTGAGAACCACTGCTCTAGGTGCCCTTACTGCCTATTACAGGGAAAACCAGCTGATCCCTAATCCATCTAAAACAAAGACATGTGCTTTTCATCTCAAGAATAGACAAACATCCCAAGCTCTGAGGATTATGACCTGGGAAGGAATCCCCCTGGAGCATTGCAGCACACCCAAATACCTGGGAGGAGTCACTCTGGACCGTGCTCTTACCTACAAGAAGCACTGCCTGAACATCAAGCAAAAAGTGGGTGCTAGAAACAATATCATACGAAAGCTGACTGGCACAACCTGGGGATCACAACCAGACACAGTGAAGACATCTGCCCTTGCGCTGTGCTACTCTGCTGATGAGTATGCATGCCCAGTGTGGAACACATCTCACCACGCTAAAACAGTGGATGTGGCTCTTAATGAGACATGCCGCATTATCACGGGGTGTCTGCGCCCTACACCACTGGAGAAATTACACTGCTTAGCCGGTATTGCACCACCTGACATCCGCCGGGAAGTAGCAGCCAATAGTGAAAGGACCAAGGCAGAGACATCTCCAGCTCATCCCCTGTTTGGGTATCAGCCAGCACGTCAACGACTTAAATCAAGAAATAGTTTTCTAAGATCTACAGAGACACTTGCTGAAACACCCCAGCAAGCGAGAGTCCAAAAGTGGCAGGCTCAACCCCAGAATACCAAGTGAGAGACTCCCTGCTGGGCACACAGAGGACTGGGTGACTTGGAAGGCGCTGAACAGACTGCGCTCTGGCACCACGAGATGCAGAGCCAACCTTCAGAAATGGGGCCACAAAGTGGAATCCACGACATGCGAGTGCGGAGAAGAGCAAACCACTGACCACCTGCTGCAATGCACCCTGCGCCCTGCCACATGCACCATGGATGACCTTCTTGCAGCAACACCGGAAGCACTCCAAGGGGACAGAGACTGGTCAAAGGACATTTAATCAACTACCAAACTCACACATTTTGTATTTTCTCTGTTTGTTTGCTTTGTTCTGTTAGAAATGTAATATAATGGACTGGTTGCCCCTGACATGATAAATAAATAAATACCCATATTCATGTTTTTTTGTTTTTTATTTATAATTAAATTATTTTAGAGTACCTGCCACACTACTATATTTTTTTAATTCATTCTTAGATTGCCTCCCATTCCAATATATTATTACAAATGTAATATTATGTTAAATAAGATCATATTTCATAGTGCCTCCAATATTAATATATTTTATTTATATTTATATAGTGCCTGCCATATTAATATTTTTTTGTTTTTAATATTTTAAATATAATAAATAAAACATTATTAAAATGTTATATTTAATATTATAGTGTCTACCATATTATTATATTTTTATTTATATTTTAGTCATCATAATAAACATTTCATTTATTGTGTGTGTGTGTATATATATATGATAATTATTACTTATTTTTTATTTATATAATTATAAACATTATTTAATATAATTATAAAAATAATTACAATGGTGGGAAACATAATATTAAAAATAATATTATATTTAAGTTTAGAGTGTCTGCCTTATTATTATATTTTTATTTATATTTCAGTCATCATAAGAGTGTCTCTCATATTAATATACTTTTATTTATAATATTTTAATGTTAATGTTATAAATAAAATATATTTTAAATAATATTATATTAGAGTGTCACCCATATTCATGTTTTTTCTTTATATTTAAATTATATTAAGAGCACGTGCTCCATTAATATATTTTTCTTTCTTAATTCATTCTTAGATTGCCTCCCATTCCAATATATTATTACAAATATAATATTATTATAAATAGATCGTATTTCATAGTGCCTCCAATATTAATATATTTTATTTATATTTATATTTTAATCATTAGTACCTGCCATATTAATATATTTTTGTTTTTAATAGTTTTAATATAATAAACATTTCATTTATTGTGTGTGTGTGTGTGTGTGTATATATATATATATATATATATATAATTATTACTTATTTTTATTCATATAATTATAAAAAATTATTTATATAATTATAAAAACAATTACAAAGGTGAGAAACATAATATTAAAAATAATATTACATTTAGGTTTAGAGTGCCTGCCATATTATTGTATTTTTATTTATATTTTAGTAATCAAAAGAGTGTCTCTCATATTAATATATTTTATTTATATTTATAATACTTTAATCATTAGTGCCTGCCATATTAATATATTTTTGTTTTTAATATTTTTAATACAATAACTATTTCATTTATTGTGTGTGTATATATATATATATATGGTAATTACTACTTATTTTTCATTTATATAATTATAAAAACAATTACAAAGGTGAGAAACGTAATATTAAAAATAATATTAAAGTTTAGAGTGCCTAAACTTAAATGTAATATTATTAGACCGATCTCCAACCTCCCCTTTTTGGGTAAGGTGCTGGAGCGGGTGGTCGCCTCCCAGCTCCAGAGTTTCCTAGACGACACCAACTACCTAGATCAGTCACAGTCTGGTTTCAGGCCTGGTCATGGCACCGAGACAGCCTTGGTCGCCTTGGTGGATGACCTCCGCAGAGAGCTGGACAGGGGGAGTGTGACTCTGCTGGTTCTCTTGGACATCTCAGTGGCTTTCGATACCATCGATCATGGTATCCTTCTGGGTCGTCTCTCTGGGATGGGCCTTGGGGGCACGGTCCTGTCGTGGCTCCAGTCCTTCCTGGAGGGACGAACTCAGATGGTGAAGCTGGGAGACGCCTGCTCTGACCCCTGGCCTTTGACCTGTGGGGTCCCGCAAGGCTCCATTCTGTCGCCCATGCTTTTTAACATCTACATGAAACCGCTGGGAGAGGTCATCCGGAGTTTTGGAGTTGGGTGCCATCTCTATGCAGACGACACACAACTCTACTACTCTTTTCCACCCAACTCCAAGGAAGCCCCTCGAGTGCTTGGACAAGTGCCTGGCCGCTGTGTCTATCTGGATGAGGAGGGACAAGCTGAAGATCAATCCCGACAAGACAGAGGTCCTCCTGGTCGATCGTAAACCGGATCGGGGTATAGGGTGGTTACCTGTGTTGGACGGGGTTACACTCCCCCTAAAGCCACAGGTCCGCAGTTTGGGTGTCCTCTTGGATTCTTCGCTCACACTTGAGGCTCAGGTGTCGGCGGTATCCGGGAGGGCCTTTGCGCA